TCAAGATTTTATCTGAATGGGGAATTTGAAAATTCTTCATAAAGAGATAATTTTTCTATGGGTACCGAGTCATGTTGGAATCCATGGAAACACGGTTGTAGACTAGGAGGCAAAAAATGCCCTGGATGACCCTTTATCTAACTGTGATATACCATATACCGATTTTAGATCTAATATTAGAGAATATGTTTTTAATATTTTGAAAAATGAATGGAGTAAAAAAGATAATAATAAATTACATGAAATTAAACCTAATTTAGGTAAACCTTTCAATAATTTTATGTGCAGAAAAGATCAGTGTGTTATTTCTAGATGTCGTATTTGTCATACTAGAATAACACACGAGTATGTTCTTAAAAATGAAGATGAACCACAATGTATACCTTGCAACTGCAAGTACACTATTAAACATGTTTTAATTAATTGTATTGACTTTGCTGATATTCGTAGGAAGCATTTCAATGTCAACAATATGTAGGCTTTATTTAATAGTGTTCTAATTACAAATATTGTTTCATTCTTGAAGGAAGTTGGAATATATTATAAAATATGAAAATGTTGTATAAATTTAAACTGATTTTAATTTTTATCACGTTATCTTAGTGTTGGAATTTTATTTGTAAACAAACAATTTGCTTTAGACTTGAATTTTAGTTTATTGAAGGACCTTTTGTCTGATTTTAAAACTATACTGTAAATTGTAAGAATATTTGAATAAGCTCTCGCCGCGATATAGCCTTTTTGTGCTCATGCGGCGTAAAGCAAACACCAATCAATCAATGTGGTCAAGACATATCATCTTGGTACGACAATCCTCAATCAGATGATGATGTTAATGATATAGATAGGTAAGCTTTTAAATTTCAAATAATTAAGGAGTGTGATTTATATTTCACATTATTTAATATAATGTAGTTAATCATGAATGATTCAAGTCCTGAAATTTTTATCTTGTCCCATAACCACAATATAGGATGGTGCTTATAGATATACTTCATTAATGGTTGTATATCCTGTTGAATATGTTTATATACCTTCACAGACAAAGTTCAGGGATGTATAGGAATCACTTTGGCTGGTTGGCTGTGCAGTTTTGTTTCCCACTACCAATTAGTCTGTGCCTAATTATCATGTTGGTCCGTCCGTCTGTGCATCAAGCATTTATTACCTCGTGTAAAAATGAAATAATACATTTTTTGTTGCACCCAAAGAAAAAATGTTTGTCGCTAAAAAAAAGTCGTGCATCTATATTTTGAAATGAGCAAATATTTATCAATTTCATGATTTTTCAGTTAGAAAGATACAACTAAGAAGAAGTTAGTAGCAGTTCAGATACATGTGATACGGACATCGTACCACCGACACCATCACCATTACCAAGGAAAATTAAAAGGTTAAAAGAAGCTCATAATCGGGTAAATGAATGCATTTATTATCTCAAAGCCTTAAAAACCATGCTGGTTTAGAGTTACCTGGCCCGTACCAATTTCTTGTACAAAAAGAATTTGTTTTGAGATATACCATCTTATGAATCAATAATTTATATCTTCAGTAAAAGATATTTACATTATTTTCGAGGCTATATATATGTATAACAATTCAGAGACTCAGAAGGAACTCCCTACGTTTTAGGATTACGTGAGCTAGTTAGCAAATCTGAAAAAGACACTCTTGATACTTTAAAGAAATCCTATTTGACCTAGATAAGAGGTATTATGACGCTGAGAACTTGGTATCACAAAATATTTTGTTCAATATCAGAAATACTAAGTCTGATCGGGCTGCTACCGAATTAAAATTTAACGAATTATTACAGGCATATAGGACTGATATACTACCAGAAGTTGTTGCCGAATGGGATAATTTATCTGAAGAAGACAAAACAGTATTGTCCCGATTGAATAATTTCTTTTGCGGTATCTATTCTTTAGTACATGTATCTGAAGTGGCTAATATATCGTTGGTGGACTTTGAAAAGACAAACTTTAATGATGATGTGCCTTTTTTGAACGAGAAGTTCCAGAAGATGACTGAATCTGGAGTAGTCAGATTAATACGCATATGTTGCAAAGCATTTGCACTTGGGGGTGATGCAAAAAATGGATGTCATGGTCCATTATGACTTTTATGAAACCTTTTCTCAAGGAAAATGAAATGAAGAGTCTGTCTCTAACTCAATTTAGAGGAAATAGATTTAACATATTATTTCACAATGCAGGAGTTGTTTTTTTTTTTCATGCAAAAATGATTGAGTTTTTGCAAGATCACGGTTCAAACAAATGTGATCTTCATGATCTTAAAATACCGTTTTTTATTGTTGGTTGCAAAGCTTTGGGCTTAATTTGTAAGTTTATTACTTCACCTCTTTGGAACTTAATTGAAAAAAAGTACAACTTATGATTATGAATAGACATTATCTGCAGGTTACAAACTTCTGATGCAGCAACTAATGTTGATGACTTCATGGTGGGAAAATTGCTGCCATTCGGTGACGATTCTTACATTAATAGAGACAAATTGTATGAAAACCTGATAGATCCAACACAACACGACGGTGAAGCTTGTACAATTTTAGATATTGTTTTTCCCGCTATTGCAAAGCTAGTCAAAAATATTTTCCATGATCATTTACCAGGAGGTTAACACGAACAACTTAAGGGACCGATCATTTTACTTGTTAAATGGGTGGGGTGTTACGGTTTTTTTCCCCGAGATTGTTCAACGCGATCATTCAAATAGTTGTTACTAACTTAACATTTCTATGCATTTGATATAATCATGTGATATAATTTGATTCAATTATTTTTGTATGTACCTGCATGCTTTTCCTCATTTTTAACCATACTTGGGATGAAAACACTATGTAGCAAAAACCACAACTAGACCACCCATTTGCAAATTAATTGGTCAATGTTGAAATCCTAATTTGAATCAATATTGAATAAACTTAATTTGAATTCAGATTGAAATCAGGGTGAATGTTCAACTTTGAATCAATATTGAATAATGGTTGTTTCAACCATAACTTAATTTGAATTCAGATTAGATCAGGGTGAATGCCGTATTTTGTAAAACAATCAACGTTGAACAAAGGTTGTTTCAACTAATAACTCATTGATTTCAGATTGATTACAAGTTTTTAAAAGTTCTGTGTGCTATTCTAAACTGAATTAAAATTGGTTAGTGGTTTAATTGAACTTTGTTTCAACCTAAAATTTAAGTTTCATTCATCCTGTATTTTATGTGTGTTGCATTCCATAATATTAAACTGTAGCAACTTTAATGATTCCATAGCACATGAATACACATTCCAGCTAGTGTCTTATCAAAGGCAAAAAATATTATAACACAACATGCTGCCACAGGAAACGGTTTCCAATAACTGCTCCATCCGACCAAAGTATAAAAAACTAATCTCAGAAAAAACTAATTCATGAGCTTTAAATCAAACAAAAAAATAAAGACTGACATAATTATCTTATGCAAACCTGGTATACTGAAGTTAATATTCTGCCATCAAAAGAAGAACATCTCTACAATCTCAAGCAAGCTTGATCAATTAGTTAATTATCTATCCCAAATAAGATATAACAATAACTTAACTGTTTGACGGAAGATTGTTGAGTTTCGACATTAACATTAGTCTTCAGGGCTCAGTTGTTCAAAAGTGTCGTTAGCCTTAACGATGATTAAGGCTAACGAGTCGTTAAATCTTAACTAAGTCGCTAGCCAACATTTGCGTTAAAATGTGTTGTTCAAAAAAATTTAAAGGCAATGTTAACTAATGCTGCGTTAAGAGTCGTTAAATTTTTTATGTTAAATTGTTACCCATAATGCACAGAAAATCTTCACTTCCTGTTACCAAGATGGCTGATTGTCTGCAAAGAAATTGCCAAGGGACAGAAAAGCCAATTGCACCTCCATTGAGGCAAACTTGATCAGTTCTCGAGTGACAAACGAGGTGGAGTTGTTAAAAGGGGGATTTTCATCAGAAGTGACAAACCAGAAGAAAAATGAGGTGTGGAAACTCATAAAAGAGGAGGTCAATGCTTTGGGTGTCTGCTTCAGGACTGCAGCAGAAGTTAGAAATAAATATCGGAATATGTGTCGTGGTGCAAAGGAAAAATTTACTAAATCCAGAAAGGAAATGAGCAACCCCAGTCGCCTCTATTAATTACTTACCTATTGTATAAATGGTTAATTTGTTTTCGTCCTGAATATGCATGAAATATTTGCCACTGGACGTTAAGCAACCAACAATCAATCAATCAATTTTCTTCTGATACTACCACTTGGTATTTATTATCATGTCACATATGAAACATTCAGGTTAAAGAGCCTTATTGCCCCTACTCCTTTTTCAAGTTGTTTAATATTTAAATGTTTTGAATCTATTTACTTTAATGTTTGACTTGTTTTAATTGTTTTTTCCAAAATACCATTTTTATTACAAAATCCATTTATTAAAATGCTGCATATATTATATTGATTTATTTTTCTTTTAATTGTACCACATATTGTATTTAATTCTTTTTAATTGAAATTGATGATTAACTTATAAATGAAGACTGCTAGCAATTCGGATTTTGCGTTGTTTTTTGTCATTCTGTCAATGTCCTAACAATGAAGAGGTATTAACATTTTGATGTCAAATGTGATAATTCAGGCTGATGTTCAGAGATAATAATTCCAATGTTGAGTCTTATTTCATTGGTCACCAACAATATTTCTGTATATGACTATAAGGTATTGATTTTTCAAATTGTTGAAGGCTGTACAGTGTCATGTAATTGCTTGCTCATATCTATGTCATTTGAACTCTAGAAGATTTTGTCTTATTGGTAAGCATACCAAATCTTCTATTTTCATTGTTGGTGCAAGATTTTGGCAATTGTCAAATCTGATTTTTCTTGAACATTCAAAGCTTAACAATTCTATGAAATCGTAGATAATCCTGGACCTTCAGTTTTTTGGATTACATAAAAATAGAAAGTGAAATAGATGCTTTAACTTTAATGACGGTTAAAATAAGTTCCAGCAATGTGTTCCCTAATCCCTCTTCAATCCTGTTGTCCATTGTAGTTGATTCCATTTTCTACATCCTCGTTAACAGGCTCTTCTGCTGCTACATCTGGTTTATTTAGTTGTATGCAGATGTTGTGAAGAATGCCACAAACCATAACTATTTTGGTTACCTTTTTGGGATCCATACGAATCTACAAAAGATAAAAATAAATTACCATGCAGGGTCTGTACGCCCGTACGTACGTCCCATAGTTGGTTTCCGTTCTCTAACTTTAGTGAACTAAATTTTGGTGGTGTCACTTTAACCATTCTAGAGTTATGCCCTATACAAATTGAAAAATTGCTGAATTTTTCCTTTCCGTTCTCTAACTTAAGTTTGCCTCAACCAAATGTTATGAAGCTTATAAACAATGCTTATTACCACAAAATACAGATCAAGTTTGAATTTTGGTGGTGTCACTTTAACCGTTCTAGAGTTATGCCCCTTTACAAATGGAAAAATTGCTAAATTTTTCGTTTCCGTTCTCTAACTTTTGTTTACCTCAACCAAAAGGTGTATTGTATTTTTCTGAAAAAAGTATTATGATTTCCAATTTTAAAGGGAAAAATACTCAAATCAATGAGAAACAGTATAAAACATCTAAATAATCACTCACTTCAGAATGCAATATGTGGAACCTTCTCTTCCATCTGCAAAATGTCCTTTCTATAACAGATCTTGTGACGTATGACATCTGTTGTACCTTCTATGGTGTTGTTCAATGGGATTCAGAAAAGGTGTCATTAAAAAAGACCTGCAGAGATAGCCACTATCACCAAGTAAAATACCATTTTCCTAATTGCCATGTCTCTCCATGTGAGCACACACCTGCATGAGGAAATATATTTATGGTAAAGAATTTACACGCATATCAGTTCAATTGGTATTGTTTAAAAGATATTTCATTGGCAATCATACCACATCTTCATTTAATTATTTAACATAAATTATAGGGTGGGGTTCATTCATTTTGATGGATGATATCAGAGACATATAAATACAGTATTATATGTCTCTAATATGATATGAACCAAAAACATTGGACCTCTGTTACAAAGCACCTACACCTAGCTTGTCTACATAAAACAGAAATATATATATATATACCATCTGAGACTAATAGAATCACACTTAAGTGTTCTCAATATTATGTAAAATTATAATCTGTTTACTATTCTGGACTAATAAAGCTGATTTAAAATTATTAATTGACCATTTACACTCACGTTTGATGTTCGGGAAACATGGGAATCATGACAACAACCTGGCCAATTTGCATTTATGTTTGTAAATCTTCCTGAAAAACAAAGTAAAGAAAAAAGTTATTTTCAATTAAAACATAGCTAAAGCAGCAATTTAAGTTACTATTTGTTAAGCTTAAAATTTTTTACTAATTTTGATAAACTACTAACCCATCAAAGACATTTCCCAAAAAGGGAGGGGCCAAGGATTATAAAGCATAAGTCTAATTAATCCAGCGTCTTTCTTTCCTGTAATTTGTGTATATTACAAAACTGGAAAAAATACTATTGAATAAGTTGTACATTCTTTTTTTTTAAAGTCCTGGAAAACAAAATAAATAAAAACATTTTTTAAGCTGGAAAATAATTACTGTATGGAATTCTTTATGTAGGTCTGGGAAGAGTAAAACTATTAATATTTCAAAGGGCAGAGTTACTTTAAAAGACTTCGTTATATGGAACAGACTATAGAGGGACTGGTTCCTGAAATTTATTTTTAACTCAGGGGGAACTGCAGATTTGTGTACAATGTGACAGTTCAAATGTGAAGATGAAAACAGAAGAACATTACCTTTTGCATCACATACTGCTTGAACATTCAAGCTTGGGTAGCTTTTTCTGTTGATAAATCAGGCTTCGTCATGATATGGTCTCTTTATTCGTATATGTGTCCCATCAACAGCACCCACGATGTTTGGAAACCCAGCAATCTCGTAAAATTCAGCTTTGGTTTGGTTTAGGTTAGCAGCCACTGAATGAACTCGTTCCTCTTTTCACAAAGAGCGTCTAAAACAGAATCTACCACTCTTGACACTGTGCTTTTGTCCAAACCTTCAAAGTAGAGATGCACAAATTTAGCATAATAATTACTGGCCAAATATATGTGTACTGTAGAGTATGAAAGAAACAATGCAACAATAAATGCATGTTCACTATGAATTGGCTCTTAGATTCTGCTTAAAGTTCTCAAATTGAATTAAATAAAACATGAGAAAACATATGTAAACAGTTAAGGCACTTAAAGTAAATAATCTTACCTAACGTGTCACCTATGATCTGGAGGAAACTTCCACTGGAAGGAAATGTCAATGTGACCATTATCTGTTGCTCTACACTGAGGGCATGATTCCGGTTTGTCTGCCGAGATAACTTGTCCCTGACTAGATTAGATAAGAATAACATTCGTTCCCTCCTAAATCAGTAGCGTGCTCTAAGTTCTGTGTCAGTGTAGTCTAAGGTAAGTTCTTCTTTGCTTCTAAAAGTTCTTTCTTTTCTTTGAACTGGTACATGAAGCGAGCTAAGGCGGCCATTTTTAGGGATTTAATCGAGGCATATGAAGTGATTAGCTTTTAACACAGATTTAACGACTGCGTTAAGCGTTAAAAATTTTGAACAACTATTAACGATTACGTTAAATTTAACGACTAGTTAACGACACTTTAACGACATCTTTATCCTTACGACACTTTTGAACAACCGGGCCCAGGAAATTAAGAAATTCTATGATACATTAAGTACTCAAAATCAACATCTGACAATAAACCATCAATCCTTAAAGCATTCCTTGTCATATTTGACTTGGTGTGGTCTTTTATTCATTGTTGAAGACTGTATGGTGACTCAAAGATGTATACATAATGTTCTTCGGGTGATTGTTGTCTTATTAACAATAAAAAAGAGGTTGGGTGCACAAAACTTTAAATAGATTGTCATTGATTGTCAGTTACTCGTAGAAGATCAGTCATTTTCAACAATAAAACTGACCGCATTCATGTTTAGAGAGCATGGCTTGGCTGCTAACAATCACTCAACCGAATAACAACTATGTGTGTTTAGAATTTTCGTAAGAACCATAATTTCATTCACAGTTAACGATATGCATAAAAAAACAGAAATTATCCTCTAAGAGAAATATGGGAAAAATCTGCAAAAAATTTAAAAAAAAATTTCCTGTACTGACCTATCCTAATTTTTGAAGGCAAACAACCCTTGATGCACATATTTTTTTGCCCCAATGTACACATATTTTTTGCCCCAATGTCTATTTCAGTTATCTGAATTATAAAAATATGAAAGAAAGTTTGCTGTTCCTAACCCATGTATTCAAATGTCCAACCACTGATTTTATAGAAATATTTCATTGATACAATAAAATTAAAATAAATTTATTTATTAATAGTGCAGACTTCTGCTTCTGCTATCCGATATCATCTGTGAAACGGTTATTCCATAACGGTCAACCAACTCGTGATAGCGTCCGTAAAATTTACGAAGGGATGATTTCAACTTCACCATTTGGAACTCTTGGTTTAATAGCTTCCTTGTGAGCAGCAATCCTCTATCAAGTAATCATGATAGGAAATACAAGTCCGGGAATATCGTATCAATTGGAAGATATATACTCCGTATGCAGGTGCTGCTGGATTGTTGCTACATAGAAATGGAAAGTTCACAATTGGGAAGCTGAAATCATCTCTTTTGTTGTAAAGTTTTGTTTTCAACCGACCCTCATTGTCAATTTCTAGATGTAAGTCAAGATATGAGGCAGACTTAACTGTATCTGTAGTATCCTTTATCTCTAGTTCGATGGGATAGATTCGTTCAACAAAGTCACCAAATTTTGAATTATTTAGTGAGATAACATAATCTATATCGCGGAACGTAAAGTAAAAGGATATTGCTAACTTCTTATCTTTCTTCCTTAGAAGTTCCTGTATGAAGTCAGCCTCATAATAATAAAGAAACAAGTCAGCAAGAAGAGGGGCACAATTGGTTCCCATTGGAATTCCGACAGTCGGTTGAAAAACACGTCCTCTAAACGTAACAAATATGTAGTCAATCAAGAAATCAAGCATCTTGATAATGTCAGTTTCAGAGAATTTTTTGTTTGAATCAGAGTGATTCTTTACAAAGTAGAATTTATCCCTCCCCAAGACAAGATACTTGTATCTACGTTCGCCATTCTTTTTAATGAAAGAAAGTAATAACAACTCTTTCAATTTGTCTTTTAGTTTGGAATGGGGAATACTTGTGTAAAGTGTAGAAAAGTCAAATGTTTTAATACTATTGCAAGATGAGAGAGTCTTAGATTGTATGTACTCTAAAAGATCTTTGGATTTTTTTAGTATCTACATCTGATTCACGCCACCTCTAGAATAGGCAGTTTCACATAACTTTGGAGCCCGGCTTTGATTGTCAACTTTTGTTTAAAACATGTAACCTCATCTTGTTGAAGGCAAGTATAGTTTTCGGCAAAGCAAAACATAACCCATTTACCCGGGATTCTTATAGGTTTGCTAAACTACTAGTGAGGCCAAGCTGCGTTATGTATATGACCACTAAAAGTATCAATTTCAGACAACAACTCTTTGGTGAATACATCGACATTATCTTTTTTCAATTTTTATTGTTTTTCGGGTTTTCTTTTCTTTATCGTAAAAAGTCAGATTTTTCCATCTGTTCTATTCAAGATTACCTTTGTCAAGAGGTTTGCTAATGATGTCGTGTACGATGACCTGTTCCATATTGTTCACACATCCTTTCGATGCATCTTTTCTTTTCTTTTTCTCAAAAGGGGATAATAAACCTACGGTTCATCTTTGTAGGCAGTCTATGAGCTAGCGGCCTGGCTTTATATCCTCCGACAATTGAATTCATTGAGGTAGTTGTTTGGCCTAATATTATACTGGTAACTACTCTTCTGTACTCGTTATAATTTGGTGTGTATTAGCACCATGATAAAAACAACGCTTTTGACAGAAAATATTTCCGTTTATATCAACTACTTATTCGATTCGATACCACTTCATTTTAATTTTATTTATGCACAAGAGACATAAATCCATAGAACATAAAGTCACTATCAAGGATTTCAAATGCAAGTTTTTTTCTGTGAACTACTGGGATATGTATGATCATTACTTAGGTTATTGTTAATATGGTTAGGGACTTTCTGTTTTGAATTTTCCTCTGAGCTCTGTATTTTTGTTATTTTATTTTTTAGTGAAAAAAGGGACAAAAGTGAAAACGCAATAATTAGAACTCACAGATCGGTAACTTGTCATGGTCAAACTGTGTACAAAATACCCAACCAATATCTTTCAAAAAAAAATTACCAGAACAAAATTTCAACTTGATCTGTACCTTGGCATGGACATTAACTATATCAAATCAATGTCTTGAAACATGACAAACAATTAAGGACTACCGGAATCTCAGACAGATTGCCCGACTAAAAAATAAGGCAATATTTGTAAATGTTGCGCTGAAAACTATACTTTGAACATTATAAAGCTTCTGTCCAAATTTCATAAATCTCCATTAAGGTTTTCGACGACAGAAAAAAAATAATCTGGGACTGAATCTATATGATAACTGTAAAAGGAAAACTAGGTCCATATGTCAGTAAAATAT